TCCCTCTGCTTTGAATACATCATCTTAAGTGTTCTACTCTGCGGTTGTTTAGACAAGAAGGTGTAGAGCAACTCTTAATGTACCTTGAGCAAACAGACAGCCTTCCTGCCTGTGCTCACTACTACCTGTGTTTAATATTCCAAAAGCTCCTTCACAGAAATAAGAGCTAGATGGTCTCTGGTATCCTTTGTTTTTTTGGGCCAGACATGAGTGACATTTGAATGGCAGCAGTGTTAAAATAGTGGCAATAGGCCACTGCAGATGTTTACTCTCTGTGTTGTTGTGTTTTTTAAACCAACCATGCTAAGTTGTTCTTGGTATTTACCCACAGGCATCCAGGAGTTTCCAGAAAACATTAAGAACTGCAAAGTTCTAGCTGTGGTGGAAGCCAGTGTAAATCCTATTTCAAAGTATGTACAAGGCAGTCTTGCATACTTAGCCGCATTCGATGTGTAATGTGTGAATGTTTCTTTTTCGTCTGTGTAGTTAATCCAGCTGATTTCTGTTGCGTCTCTTTTCAGGCTCCCAGAAGGCTTCACCCAGCTTCTAAACCTGACACAGCTCTACCTGAATGATGCTTTTCTGGAGTTTCTTCCAGCCAGTTTTGGCAGGTATGTTTATTTAATTCATTAAGCAACCTACAGCAGTCTGATACTGACATGGTTGTAAGTTTCAAATTGATGAAAAAAACCAAGGCAACTGATTTGGGGCTTTTTTTCTTCTCAATTGAAACTCATCTCATCTGGAGATGGTAACAGGCCAACATTGTCTGTTAACCTGAAACTAAAAACTTTATTTTTTTTTAATCTAGAACTACCTCAAATACCTTTGTTGATTTAAAGCACAAAGTGATTGAACTTGAACTGTCACAGCCTTTCAGCTCTTTTGTGTCAAACCCAGATACTTAAAACTATTTGCACTTTTTTTTACACATGGCTAGATATTCTCCAGATTGACAAACATTAAGATACTTCTCAAAATATAAGTCTTAGAACTGATGTTTCAAAAGCTCTAAACGTAAAGTATTGATTATGGCCAAAGTAATTCTAATGGTTATTGGGGAAGCCCATGGTCTAGCAGGGGGAATTATTCTAACACACTGTAATTGAGTCCACTTGTAGATAACTTTGTCTGTCATCACAAGATTTACTTCCTTACCTTGATGGTTGATGAGATTGTTTCAATGACGTCGGCAATTAGTCATGCCATTATCATATGCTGTTTACTCAACAGTTCGTTTTGAGCCTTTTGATTACACAAAACATGTGATGTTGAGCAGCCCACGCATTGGAAAGCCTTGTAGGCCTGTTTCCTGTTTTACCATCAGCCTTCTTCTTCTTTCTATAGGGCAGTTTCACTTTACTTTAACTTTAGTTTTGTTCCAAGAAAGTTGAAAAGTCAATTATAAAGTACAACTAATCAGGTAGACACATAGAGAGGTTTCATAATCATTTATGATGAAATAAATGCGCTTTGTTTACTCATTTCCTTTGCTTCTTTGCTTCAGGTTGACTAAATTACAGATTTTGGAGTTGAGGGAGAACCAGTTAAAGGTGTTGCCAAAGTAAGTGGATTTGTTTCCATGTTTTTTTTTTTGTTTTCCATTTATTATTTATTCACACATGCAAACATGTGTATTCCAGCTTTGGCACTTTGCATCCTGAAGCCTGTCATTAATGTTTACCCTTGCTTCCTTTCTTCCTTTGCTTCCTCTCACAAAGCCTCTGCAGTGCACTCCATCCTGCCTGTTTGTTTCCTCACAGCTGTAGTATTGAATTCCCTTGTTATCTAACAGTGCCTTAAATTTGTTTTCTAGCCATGAATGATATTAAAGTCCTTCTGATATAGTAGTTATTTTTTTATCGTGTGAAAAGGTCACAGTGAACAAAAAACCCCATATGACCAATGGGAACTTAGGTCTTTTTTCTGTTTTTACTCCCGTTTCCTTATTAAATCATCCCATTTGATCTTCTTCCCTTTTCTCAGCTAATCCGTTTCCCCTGTTTGCCTAATGTGATCTTTCTTTTGCTGGCTGGCTTGCCTTTTGTTATCTCACTCAATTTTTTTTCTCCTATTTTCCACTGACCTGCTGGCAAGTCTTTGGTTGTACAGAGTGCAGTGTGGTTCAGTGCTAGTCGTTCCTGTCTTCTCACTGTGTTTATGTGACAGATGCCAGACCTGTTAAAGGCTGGAGTTCTGACAAAGAAAAGGACTAATGGTTGGGAAGGTTGCCAGAGCAACACACAAGCATTTCAGAGATGTAAACAGAAGTGTGCATGCACAAAGAGGCCGCAGCAGCCTTTTCAGAGCTTCCCAACAGACGGAACAGTCTCGCTCTCTCTCTCTTTCTTCTCTCACCCTCCTCTCCCCCCCCTCTCTAGCTTACGCATGCGTTAAATAAACCTGCTTCTTCTCTTTAAAGAACGCTTGTGTGTGTTCTCACAATTGAGGGTCAGGGCTTTTTTCCATGATGAACAAATCTTTTAGATAAGCCGGAGCAGCTCATTTTTCTGTGGCAGTCTCTCCAACTATGATGTGACAAAACTGGCCAATGTTCAAATACTTAACCCTGATTAATGCACTGAAAATCAGTTCCTCGGGGCTTTAACTATACTTATAATTTCAACCATATGTCTGACATTCTTCTTCAGTGAGGAGGACCTAAAAACAAAACAGACAGAATTATGTGTGGGCTTCTTCTACTTTCATCTCTGTATTGTCTCTCTTTAGGATAATGTTTCAGAACTAAATTATATCAAAAGATATTACAATGAGAGAAAGTCTGTTTCCCTGTTTTCAAAGCTCTGTGTAACATACTTGTGATATAGTCACTGTACTGTATTGTACTGTTTTGCTTCAGTCTCTTAAAGCTGCTATCACTGGAGCTCAACTGCCCTCAAAGGCATTTTGGCAGAAGACGTCTGTGATCGTAATGTATATGTGGTCGGTAACTAACCAATCATCAAAGTGGAAATGTGAAAGTGAAAGGGTTTCTTAAGACAAGATAAGAAAAGATGGCGCCCTACTGACATGTTGTAAATCTTACTGCTTAAATAAATGTTTTTTTTCTGATTGATCCTAATATTTATCCTAATATTTCAAATATAATACACTCTGTTTGTTCTTTGTGTCTACAGAAGCATGCAGAAGCTCACGCAGCTGGAGAGGTTGGACCTGGGCAGTAATGAGTTCACTGAAGTGGTGAGTATCTGTCAAGTCACTGCATTCATATCCAGGATAGTGACCCTCCACAGGCCTCACAATTTTTTTTCTCACAAAGACTCTGTTATTTTAAGGCTTTAGAAGTACAAGTGCTTATTAATTTTACAGTAAACTCTGTCTGATGAAAACAATTATGGTACTCACTCACGCATACTTTCAAATGACTTACATTGTCGTTCTCTCGTTTCCTTTGTAGCCTGAGGTGTTGGAGCAGCTCACTGGAATCAAGGAGTTGTGGATGGACGGGAACCGCCTGACATATTTACCTGGGGTATAATTTTCTGTCATTCTCCACCGTGCTTTCAGTCTCGGTTATGTCTCCAGATTATTTTCTGTGATTTTCAAACCACAGCTCCACTTAAATTTACATCAAACCGTTAACATCAGACTTGGAGCTCTGTCAAACCAGACCTGAAGGAGCTGCAGTTTAGAAAAGACTGTCTGGCTGCATGAACACAGTCAGACAATTTGGTGGAATTTTGCACACATTTCCGAAGTCATAAATGATCATTTATCATAGTGGCACCCGGCTTTCTTAGTAATAATGTGTTTGTTGTGTGTTTGTTTCTCAACTATACTTGGGGCAGTTGTTGTCAGCTTCTAAATTACAGCAAGCTTAGCTCAACAAATAAAAAACTGAATGACTTCTAAATTTTTCAAAAACCTAATTCAGCAACATATAATGTAAAGTTGACATATATTGATGACAGTTTCTACAATTAAGTAGCTGTTTTATAAGAACTCCAAAGGAGTTCCTATTTCACTCACAAAGCAGTGACTATAATAGCTCCACTGTCTGCTCTGGGCAGCTCCATGCATATTAATACTGCTAACTGTGCAAGGTTCTGCCATTTGTTTTACGTATACAATACTGCCGGACTGCTACCAAGTAAAGTAAAACTAAAAAGCTGCTTATTGAGCCTAATGCTAATTATCACAAACTTTATTTTAAAAAAAGAAGAAGAATTGGTGCACGGGAGTGTGTTCGGTCTACAGGCTGATTTTTACTGAACTCTGAGGTTTCTGGTTTTACCATTGATTTGCTAGTAATCCATCATTTACATTAATAAAGTTTTTTTTTTTTAATCTTTTTTTTCTCCTTCTGGTCTGCTCAGATGCTTGGAATGCTGAAACAGCTGGTTTACCTGGATGTGTCCAAAAACAACCTGGAGATGGTAGATGAGCAAATCTGTGGCTGTGAGAACCTGCAGGACCTTCTGCTCTCCAACAATGCTCTCACACAGCTGCCCGGCTCCATTGGTAACAGCAACAATATCAATTTAAAACTAAAAAATACTCAAGTTTAAGTATGAGGCCTTAGTGCTGCCTGGTTACAATGTATAATCTTTCCAAAACACTTGTCCTGCTAATGCGTATGATTGTCCAGGTTCACTGAAGAAACTGACTGCACTGAAAGTGGATGAGAACCAGCTGATGTACTTACCAGACTCTGTTGGAGGGTGAGTGTCGTTGCGGGGTAACCATCAATGAATTACTGTGTTTTATTTTTATTTCTACGTCATTTATTGTTTTGTTTTGTTTTGTTTTACTTGACGCCTCATTGACATTGAGAAGTGAATAGCAGCTAATCAGACAACAATAAATAGGATTTTTCTAAACCTGTTCTTTTGGTTAATAACAAGCGTGAGTGTGTTGTTCTACACGGGAAACTTGATCCTGATGAGCCTCCAGTGCAGCAGTGGCATTTTAATTCAGTCAGTGCTGCTTTCAAATTGGTACTTCTCGCAGCAGAAAGGTGAATCAGGCAGTCACCAATTGTTAGTTCATGGGGGACATCAGCCTCCATGTTATTCCAAATGTCTATTATTCAAAACAAAAACTAAAGTGCATTCAAATGAATCTGTCTAGCTGTGAATCATTAAGCTTCTGCAAGCATGGAAACAAATCAACATCAATTTGAAGTATAACTAAAATTAAATAAAATGTCAATTCAGTTCAGTGGTGAAAGTTAATTTAACATGATTATTGTAATTATTCGATCATTACAATACCTGTTCTACAGGTCAGACAAATGTAGCTCTCCTCAAAGCCCCAGCTGCAACTACTGACATTACGTCAGTTCAGTAGAGAGACGCTAGTTTTGTTATCAGATGCAACAATGAAGAACCTGCTTTATCATTTGTACACCTGTTCCATACACATGACAGAACGATCAGTACTCGAGTCAGTGACAGTTGTTTGTTGTTTCTTTTTTCTTATGAAACAAAGTACTTTTACCAACAACATCATAGAGAAGTCTGTTCTCTGCTCTTCTGTTTTTTGGATTTTAATTTCTTTTAACTTAAGGGCTGTAATGTGTACAGTATGGTAATTGATAATCGGTTTCTGCATTTCACAAAAAAGACATTAAGGTTACAAGACATGAGAAGGTTTTAAAAATGAAAATGGTGAAATACTTAGAGCAAACAGAGAAACATTTGGTAACACACCATGTAATCATATGCTGCGTAGAGATGGTGCTGATCACTTTCGGGGCCAGAAGTTGTGACACAGCGTTCTCTGTCTTAAAAATGCCGCTTAACGTGTTTAACTCCTCCAGGTCCTGTCCTGTGTAGATGTTGGTGTGCTGTAACTAAAATTTATGAATAATCTACATCCCCTATAATTACATCACAATGACGAGTTAGGAGTGCCTCCAGTCTGAGTGAGTTAACAAAGATGGGGGAAGACAAATAATAAAAAAAAAAAAAATCATAGCGTGTTCTTTTTTGCATAGCCTCAGCCACGTTTCACAGCTTTTTGAAGTTCCACGGCTGTCTGATACAGACGCTAGCCTAATTAATTCATCATTAATTTCGTCACTTCTCAGTCAGACAGACAGACTCTGAGGCTGCCTCAGGTTCCTCTCTCTCACAGTTGTTAGTGAAAAAATGTTAATTTGCAAGAACAAGAACAGGTTTATTTCTGCAGAGCAGGGTTTACTGTGCAGTTTTCATTTTTGTTTGAATAAAATATTAAATGTTATTTCATATTTTACATAAAGTCAATGCAAGCAAACCTATTTGAACTTTATTATATTTCCTAACCTCAGGAGAGTCATTCAGATGGTCTTTGAGGAGGCAGATCAATACCTCAGGAGAGTCATTCAGATGGTCTTTCAGATCAATGAGTGATATTTAAAATCACATTATTATCTGCAACAACAAGTTTAAATCATGGAAGCCCAGTTTTGGAATTTTCACACTCTGAATGTATAAGCCACAACTGAATTTCACAGAAGATTTGTGGAAACTCACTGAGAATATGTTTTTCTTTTTTTTCCCATCTTTCCTCTGTTATTGTTCGCCCTGTTAGCCTGACAAATCTGGAAGAGCTGGACTGCAGTTTCAATGAGATTGAAGCCTTGCCGTCCTCTGTGGGCCTGTGCATTGCCATGCGCACGTTTGCTGCTGATCACAACTTCCTTGCTCAACTTCCTCCAGAGGTCAGTGTGCACATCATTGCCCACCTGTCTATCTGTCTGTCTGTTTGTTCCAATGTGCTGAGACAGTGGCTGCTGTTGGTCTCTAACGTCTGGCTCCTCGCTCTCCTTTCATCTCAGATGGGAAACTGGAAGCACGCATCTGTGCTCTTCCTACATTCCAATAAGCTGGAGTTGCTGCCTGAGGAAATGGGTGAAATGCAAAGGCTCAAAGTCATTAATCTGAGCAACAACAAGTGAGTTTGAACAGACTGTGTTCAATGTCGATAACACACTCACGTCCTGGGTCTCATTGGTTTCAGAGGTTTTTTCTTGTTTTTGTTTGTTTTAATATTTAAATCTGTTCCAGGATATTGTCCTCGAGTTACAGGATGTTTTAAAAAAAATGTAGAAAATAAGCTATTCAACCAAGAGATGGGGAAATAATCTGTCACAATAATAATCACAGTTATTGTTAAGGCAGCTTCCTGCCTTTGCAAATTGGTAAAGTTCAAATAAAAAAAAAAATCTTGATTTCCTTTTTACCACACAGTCTGTAAAGTAGTCTGATGATCACAACAGGACGGTATATTCACTATGACAATAAAGTGACTGTTTTCATTCCTCTACAGGTTGAAGAATCTCCCTTACAATTTCACTAAACTGAACCAGATGACTGCGATGTGGCTGTCCGAAAACCAGGTGAGGTCTATTACTGTACATGTAAATCAAATGCTCGTAGGTTCACAGCAGGAGCTCATGTCTATGGGTTGATAAAGTGTTCTCTTGGGATTAATAGCAACAGGATCCGTGACCAACTACTTGAGTGACTGGCTCTAAATTAGCTTGGCCTGACCAAGTATCGCCCAGGAAAAAACATTAAAAATGGAGAGAACCACTCCAAAGACATTGGAGCCTACATGGCAAATGGCAATACGGGTCAAATGTGACGATGCCTTAAACTTTAAAGAATGAATTCACTAGGATCCAAATAAGTGACCTGACTGTTAGGGAATTTTACAGAGTAAACCTAATAATTTTTATAGCTCCGTTGGATAATATAGCAACAGCCTGTTAGATAAGGCAGATTATTTTCCTTTCTTTCATCCGTTTCTTTCTCTTTCTTTTTTTTCTAACTTTTTTTCCCTCGCATTTCTGTCTTTCATTCTTCGTTTCTTTTTTATTTCTTTTTTTCAGTCTTTTTGTATTTCCTATCTTTCTTCTTTGTGTCTTCGTCGTACAGGTGATGTACAGGAATGCTGGTGGTTAAAGTACTCGTGGGAATGTCTTTGTCTCGTCACATTGTATGTAAAGTGCATTACAGTCCTGCTGTCTTGTAGCAGTAATACCTTGTGTTGTAAAGTATTGTGTGAAGCTACAGATTTGGCACTTAGCTGGTAATGTGAAACACATTTTAATAAATTTTTCCCACAAAATTCCCCACAAAAAACCTTAAAAAGACCAGAGATCTGTTGTTTAAATTATCTGTAGTAAAAGGCGGGTAGCACAACACATGTTGTGGGAAGAAACACAACCCAGGAGAGGCAACAGGCCCATCAGCAGTCAAGAAACAAGGACACTGTTGGGCAGGTGCCACAGTAGTAACGTGGCCTGGGGGACACTGGTCTGCTCAAGGCTACTTCATTAGGAAATGGATGACAGGAAGAGGCATCAAGATATACTCGACTAAATACGTTCTTACAGCCAGAAGGACGGATAAGGATTGGAGGAGGAGACAAACATAGATTAAAGACAGCCCTATGAGCAGCATTAAACATTTTTAAGGACCATATTTGGCCATAGTTGATTTTCTGATTCAACAAGACACCGATTACTGTTTGACATATATTATTAACAATATTTTTAACTCCCAATTAAACCCATGACAAATACTAGACCTTTAAAAAATGTAATGTTTTTTTAATAAGGTATTAGTCATAAAAAATTACATAGTTTTTACACAATGTAATCTAAATAATTTAATTGCTACCATTTATGTTACCAGGGAGATGTTGCAGCACAAAAGCCTGTATGTAGTAAGTTACTTTAAAAGATGCAGAGGTGACGTGCACTTTTTTCATTTATTAATTAGTATTGATACTTTACGAGAGTAATCTATACTCAGTCGGCACTTGTGTGTCCATATATCTATGCCACATAATTGATACTCCCATGACTAGTCCTTACTGCTGCTGACTGCCTTCAAAGCCAAGTCAACAACTCTTTTGTTTTGTTTCCTACAGTCAAAACCTCTCATCCCTCTGCAAAAAGAAGAAGATCCAGAGACTCACAAAACTGTCCTGACCAACTACATGTTCCCCCAGCAAACCAGGACTGAAGACTGTGAGTACTGTGCATTAGAAACATAAATCCTTTATTTTAATGTTAGTTTATCAACCACCACCAGCAGTTAGACCAGACCAACTAGAGGTGACCTACAAGTGGCTTTGGGGTAATTGGTATGAGGTTTGTTGTATATTTTATGAGGGACCTGGTTACCTGAGACATGGTCTCCTTCTCTTGTCAAGCATCTGTTCGTTTAGGCTGGTTTCCAGTTGCACCAGGTGCTCACACTGACCTTCTTGCATCTTAGCGGTGGAGAACTATATGATTAAACTACAAACAGCCCTGCCATCATTAGTGGATCTTCTCAGCATCTGTGCATAGTATTTCATGAGGATTTATGATGATTCTCATGATGGTGCCAGTTAACTTCCTCATTAGTGTTTCCAGAAGATCTTTATCTGTGCCTCTGTAGGAGATTGTGTCCTGCTGCCAGTTTCCACATTTTATAAATTGATTTAAACTAGAGAACATAAACCAGATGATTTAATTTCATACGCAGAGCTTTGAATTTATTTGATTTATTTAATACTATTCAGTAGATTTTGTCTTCCACACATGGTTTAATCAACTAAATGTATTTTTAGGCAAATTTTAAAATTCCGCCTTCTGCCTTTTGTTGCAGACATCACCAACTCTGATTCTGAGAGCTTCAACCCAGCTCTGTGGGAGGAACAACGTAAGCACCGAGCTCAGGTGGCCTTTGAATGTGACGAGGATAAAGATGAGCGGGAGACACCACCAAGGGTAAACGCCACACCGTTAACATTGTTCATATAATTGTAAAATAAAAATAAACCCACTAAAACTCAACATTTCATCTTAACTCAAGTGTAATCTTGTTTTTTCTTTCCTCCAACTTGAAATGTGCTTGTTTGTCGGCAGGAGGGAAACCTGAAGCGCTACCCGACTCCATATCCGGACGAACTAAAGAACATGGTCAAGACGGCCCAGTCTGTGGCTCACAGACTGAAGGAGGATGAGTCAAGTGACGAGTCGGGCCGAGAGGCTAAACCAATTGAAAGGAATCACATTGGTGTCCAGGATGTGGGTGTAAAGGTCAGCTTTAGATCAGATCAAATTTATATAAGAGGTTATGAAAAAAAACAATATAAATAAACAAGATGGTTTATACTTCTTCACATAGCTCAGTTTAGAGCCTTTTATTTTCTACATTTAAATAAAGGAACATTGCTAAAGTAGAATCGAATGTTTTTTGTTCAGGTCATAGAGGCACCCTCCACCAATGGCACAATGTCAGACAATGAGACTGGAGTCTCTGCAGAAAACCCATCTGGACATGACTCAGAAGACACTTTGGACACATCTTACAGTTCTCAAAGAGTTCCACTGAAATCCTCAGAGGGCTCTGCTCTGAACCATGAGGACACACTAGAGGTTCATTAATATTAAACATTCCGCGTTGATGCTTTGTCTAAAAAAAAAACAAAACAACTATTTTACAAACTGGTTTTGTTTACGCTTAGGATTCTGAGGAGCTTTCGGATGAAGAGGAAGAGGAGATGAAAATCGCTGAGATGAGACCTCCTCTTATTGAGATATCTATCAACCAGCCTAAAGTAGTGACTTTAAGTAAAGACAAAAAAGGTAAAAGAGAAAGGGGGAGGAAAAAAAAGTGAATTTTCAAATTGTCATGCCACCATATACTGAACGTGTTTGTCTTCTGTAGATGATGGTAAAGACGCCGACTCTTTGCTGGATGACACAGTTGCCAACAGCAATCAAAACAACAGTAACTGTTCATCCCCATCGCGCATGTCTGACTCGGTGTCTTTGACCACTGACAGTAGTCAGGACAACTCTCTGTGCACCCCGGAGAGAGAAGCACAGATGCCTTTTCTCCCCAAAAGCCGGTGAGTGCTTATGATCCACAGCCCAGTTAAAAGAAAATAATTTCTTTAGGGTTCTTAGGGTTTTAATTTTCTTACGTCCTTGTATATTTCTTTTTAGACACGAGGATGAGAATATGAACCAGCCCAAGAACATCACCCCTCTCCTTCATAACGGAAACGGTTCTGAAACTTCTCTTCAGGCCCTTTTAAAAAGCCAGCAGTCGCCAACAGAAAAAATGGGAGACTACGACCTTTCCATGGAGGCCAGGTTGGCCTTCATCGAAAAGGGAATGAACAATGGTATGGAAGGGGGCTACACAAAGTGGGACCAGATTAACATGAATGTGTCCAAGCTCCCAAACAACAATGTGCTTCAGCTGGACCAGCTGGACAGATCTAAGAATGGTTCATTGGTGCAGGAGAACCTGGGCAGCAAGCAGGCTTTCAGCAATGACAACTTGGAGCATTTACAAAATGGAAACCAGCAGGTCGCTGACTGTATAAATAGTCTGGGGAACAGAAGCCAAGCAGTGAGAGCAGAGACATCTGCTGTGCATGTGGCCTCGACAGGCGTGACAGCCAGCAGCGACATGTCGCTGTCTCACAGCACAGAGGAGCTGTCTCCAGAGAAACGCTGCCCTCCTCCGCAGGTGGTGAAGTCCCACAGTGTCAGCAACATAGAAGCAGGAGGTTTGAAGCTCTACTCCTTTGATGGAGATGAAGAGGCTTTTGACCAAATGGCAATGGCAGTGACGACGGGACCTGGCCCGGCCTCAGGAGCTCAGGGCCAGAGTATAGTGAGGAGCAAGTCCGCTGGTCAGTTACTCAATGATCAGACTCTACAGGTCTACCCCAACTCCTCTGCATCTTCCTCAGACCTGCTGTCCTCGTCCAAGCCTCCTGTCAGCACCAGCAGATACCCGGCCTCATCCATCATGCCCATGGGCATCCATCCTCCTCAGTACAATGTACAGTACACGAGTAACGCCGTGCCAAAAGAGGGCCTTTGGGCTCAGAGGATGCCTATGGCCCCAGAGCACCAGGGCTACCTCCCCCCTCCTTCGCACTCACTAGCCAACACCAACTACTCCAATCGGAATCAGGCACCTCCTTACCCTCTACCACCGCAGCAATGGGGGCCTCCTATGGCTCCTAAACCCACTGGAGACATGTGGACGAAGGAGAGGCTCCTTTCTTCTAGCGGTCAGCTCCGCAGCAGCACGCTGCAGAGGCAAAGCAGCAGCTCATCCACAGCATCCATGGGTGACCCCAGGCGCATGCAGCTGCCCGAGGGTGAATACATGACATACAGGGACATACACACCCTTGCTAGGGGCCCGCTGGCAATGAGCCAAGCCATGCAGAGGCCCCTGTCGGCCCGCACTTACAGCATCGACGTTCCCGGAACATCCAGACCTGTGGCTGCACGGCCTCAGCCGCACGAACTTCCAGAGAGGACCATGTCTGTCTGTGACTTCAACTACCAGCACAGCAGCCCCAGCAAAAGACCCAACAACAGGGTGAAGTCCGAGCACTCGCTCCTGGACGGTCCAGCCCAGGTGTCAGGAGGCATTGGAGGAGGAAGGGTGCCAGTTGACTGGAGAGACCAGGTGATGCGTCACATCGAGGCCAAGAAATTGGAAAAGGTGAATTAATCTGATATGATGTTTTCAGTTTTCTAAATGTTTTTGAGATTTTTGTCATGTGTCAAAAAATGAGACAATGGGCTGAGGCTCGTGTCCAAATGTTACTGGTTGCTCTGTTTGGTTTCCACAAAAAAGACTCTACTATTGTATCTGGTTGTATTTGTCCTGATTGTCATTCTTCTCTGGTGAATTTTTGCATGGCCACCATCCACATGTGCTTCGGTGCTGGCTGCACCGTGTTGTCCATGTGTTCAGAATGCACTGTCTCGGTCCTATAATTCCCATAATGCTCCGCTGAGCTGGTCTCCCTACCGCAGCTGTAGGGACATGCATGCCAGCCATGGTTCTCTGGTCTTTAATGTCCCAGAGGGACAGTCCTCTGCATCAGTGAGCGTCAGTGTGAGTACTGAGAAGTAGTTAGTACATAGAAAATCATCCTGAGCCACAGGCTTCAGTCTGTGCTAGTTTCACATCCTCCAGAAGATAGACAAAAAAAATATGTTTCTTCCTCTCCTTGCTGATGGAACTAGATCACTGAAACTGATCAGAACCTCACTACTAATCAACCTTTGTCAGAAAAGTCACATTAAAGACACAGTCTCTAAAACTATGTGTTCTGACATCCACTAACCATTTAGATGACACATTTTTGTCTTTTTTTTTTTAGAGAGATATTTTTATTAAAGAGTGAGAAATAAATCTGACACCTGCTGGAGTTGTGTCAATTGCATATGTGGGTTTTTTTGGAAGAAAAAAACACTTTGAACTACGGGGTGAGGAGGGGGTTAAGGGTTTTTTGTGAATGTCACACAGTTATGTAATGTAATGTAATGACAGTTGCCATGCATCAGTACTTCACTCACTATCCTCGCTGCAGCCTTTGAATCACTACGGTGTAAGATGTTCTCATTTCTCTGTGTAGGAATGCAGACTGTGTTTGTGAGCAGGTAGAAATCATCTGAAGGATCTGAAGCAGGGGTGTCCACACTTTATTAACTTAGGAGCTACTTTTCAAATGACCAGACAGAAGTGATCTACCTACAGATAATATATACTTTATATATACATGATGTGTTGATGAAATAGTTGCAGCTGTATGGCATAATATGACCTAATATGTTTTGATAATATATTCCTAAAGATTTAATCTGAAAAAAAAAAATAATTGCACAATTAATCTACACCTCTGATCTATAGGTTGGGAAGAATTTTAAATTTTATGTATGAAAAAAATCCCTTTGCGATTCTTTAATGTTTTATTTAAATATCCTCTCTTTAACATCAGAAACGCAGCAGAACCCACACATACATTTACACACAAATACACACAGACATGAAATTACTATTTCTGGTATTGCAAGGAACTTTTTGTTTCATCCTTTAATTAAAACAATGACAAAAATTTGATTTCCAACACTAACTTTTAACATTATCAAACTTACAAGGTTATAGAGTCATTACTTTAACAGCCTATGTCTAACAAACCCATCCTTTCCATTCCTTGAGTTACACTTTGTTATCCAGCTGAAATGTTTACGTAGCTTTCCTCACACTTTTAAGCTTGTTTGTGACTCCCCTAAAGTGCTCTGGCGCCCCCGTGAGGAGAAGCAGCCCACAACCTTGCACCAAACTTTGTTTTTAACATCCTTGATTAATGTCTAACATGCAGCTCAACAACAGCCCAACACGTTGTTTGTCACTAGGTTTTAGTCAGTAACCTGTAAATGCCTTTCATTTCAGGATGATCTGTACGGTCCCCCAGGACAACAAGGATACATTGACCCTCACAGAAAAGTAGGTGACTGAATGAAGATCTTTTAAAAAATTGCATAATTTATTGATATGCAGCTTTTTGTTGATGCCAATAAAATGTGTTTAAACATGTTTAATTATTGTGTGATTGTGTCACAGGTGCCTTTGATGAACGGTCAAATGGGCACTTCTGCTCGTCCTCAGATGACCCAGGTGCCCATGGCCCGTCACCCTTCCAGAGAGCAGCTGATTGATTACTTGATGCTTAAAGTCTCCCAACAGCCCCAAGGCCCTACCCGAGGCTCCCATGATGCAGTGCAGCAAGAGGTAAAAGGAAAAATGTTTTTTTTTGTCATATCTATTCAGTTTAATAAGGATCGAACAGCAAGAATATCAGCAGTTTGTGTGTGTTGTGTGGGTGGGTGGGTGATAGGTTTTTGGGATGTGAAATTGGTGACGTACATGCAAGTGAAAGTATGTTGCTGTGTTTCAGATCCGTGTAAAGGTGGAGAAGAATCCAGAACTGGGTTTCAGTATATCAGGAGGAGTGGGAGGTCGAGGAAACCCCTTTCATCCAGATGACAATGTACAGTCACACCAAAGATTGTAGTTTTCTGATTGTAGCTCTGTTGACTTGTCTTATTTGTTTGACATTTTTTGGATGTTTTTTTTTCTTCCAGGGTATATTTGTGACAAGAGTCCAACCTGAAGGACCTGCCTCAAAGATTCTGCAGCCTGGAGACAAAATTATTCAGGTATTTTTCGTCAGTTGTCTGTACAACATATCAATCAGTACTATAGAATTCTGCAGGGATTTTAACCAGGCTTTTGTCATCTTATTTCCAGGCAAACGGATACAGCTTTGTGAATATTGACCATGGGAACGCTGTTTCCCTGCTGAAGACATTTCCAAACACTGTGGATATGATTATCATGAGAGATATTCAAGCATAGACTCCACTGACACTGCCCTCTGGAGAAAGGAGGGTGAGGAGAGAGGGAGACAAACAGTTGTGTTCACTTGTATTTTTTTATGCACAGAAGAGGCTGATGTGTTGACACCTGCGTGGACTATTTATACGTCACAACTTTGGTTAAAATTGGGGAAAACCACTGAATATAGTGGATACAAGTGGGAGAGAAGCAAACATCAAGTACGATTCCTCAAAAGGCCATCACTGTGGTATCTATATATTTTTATACAAAAGAAGCTGAAGATGCTCTGATGCAAATAATTACTGTGGTCTTTGTACAGATCATTTTTTAAGTCTGAAACTCATGATTCATTTATCTCTTCTTGTTGTGGATATACTTAAATCAACCACTAGAGGGGGACAAAAATCCCTCTCTCCTGTCATCCACTCTGACCTTATTTTTAATTTAAAAAGTTTAAACTTGTTTTTGGTCTGCCCAGTGATCTGTAAACGGAGGACAGTGTTATGTGCTTTCCGTGTGGAGACGAATGTAGAACAAGATGGAGTTCAGAATCGATGTTTTGATTTTATTTTTTTTTCTTTTCCTCTTCTGGTGAGATCGAAGAGTGAAGAGGAAACCATCACCGTTTGGCTTCCATAAACCTCTTCCTAACCATACTCCATCGTGCATCCATCTGCCCTCAGTTCATCTCACATCTTCTAACAAAAGCAGCTCAACTGACCTGACCTGACAACCACTGGTGCTGTATGGAAGCAAAAATCATGGCTCTCACTGTGCATGTGATCAGTTGGAGAAACTGTGAAATTGAACTGAAAATCAAACATAAGCTCAACAAGAAAGAAAATGAAAGTGCATCATTGAGGATTTAGATCTTCCTTCATCTGCTCTGCTTCTTTGAGGTTTTCGACTAACCTTCGGGTATTTTGGGAAATCAACCTCATTCTGGCAGATTGTTTGATGGGATCGGAGCTAATGGCTTGTTTCACTCAAAGTTGTCAGAGAAGAGGTCGAGAAACAATCTCATAATGGACTCTATGCTAACCTCTTTCTAGACTAAGAGCTGTCAGAATGTCTTTCATAACCTGTCGAAATGTGTTGCTTACACATGTGGACTAGATTACACGTGGACTCTGTAGGTACAGAACTACAGATTTTTGGTACCTTCTAGTCAAAACCAGTCTATCATTTCCCAGTTTCCAGTCTTTATGGTAAGCTATGCTAACAAGCTACCAGCTGGAGTCCATCAGAATCTAAAAAAGGCCCCCTGCATTTCCCTTCATGAAAACTTGGACATTAGAAGTGGGTTTTTGCTAGTTAACCAAAGCAAGTGTAGCAGTAAAGGACTGGAGGCAAAAGCAGGAGTCAAACTGAAGACGGACGTCGGAACAGGTCAAAGTTTTACATGTTTTATTTTTAAAGGGCTTCATCTTTCAGAAACGCAGCAGCTGATGGTGGGTTTTTATTGCAGTTTCATTTTGTAAATGGGATAGAGACCACAGTTTGCCTTTTTTTAGCCTATACATGTGTTTCGATCACACTTTTTACTCGTACATCAGTATCTGTTTTTCCCCCTTCCCTCTACATCGTATAGAATTTGAAGAATCAAGTTGGTAAGTGCCATAGACCTTGAACTGTTTTGAATAGGGGAGGAGTTTTCACCCCGGACCTTGAGCAATATTCACATTTCCACCAGTAAATTTCCAGCATAATTGCTTAAAAGCAATACAAGAGCGTTTCTGTTCAACCATGAAACTATTTGGTTTTATCTTATAACAACTTTTACTAAACCCTGATGATTTTACGTGATTTTTTTTTATAAGGCAAAGAAAATAATTTTGTAATGAAACAGCACAGTAAATGAGTAGGTTGTGCTAGAAACAAGCAGTTAACTGAATTGTTGTATTTGTATGAGCTGAAGTGATCTGCTTACATTGTAAAAAAAATGTGGCAACAACAGCAAAAGTATAATTTGACTGTTGAAAGAAGCATGTGTTTTTAAAGGCAGCATAGGTAATGTTATGAGCAACTGTGAGTTTAATGAAATCAGCTGCTACTGGGATGGTCAAAAATCATAGATTGACATCTTTAATTATTTCAGCAGTACATTTTTAATTTTGTACAGAAAATCTTAGATTGATTTTACTTTAAATATCACCCCATTCAAACTTTGCTTTAAAAAATCCCCAATTCAAAGTCAAAATTTAATTTTCTTTTTCACATGAAATGTTGTTTCACACAGATGAGCTGTTTTTCGTAATGTTTGTTTGAATTTCATTTGTGATTTTCGTTGACTTTTTAAAGAGTAGATGATGAAAACTTCTGGGGTAATGGTCACTTTATATATTGATGGCTGAGACATACAGTGTGACAGTGTAGACAATCTGGTTCATCAGTCAAGTCACATCTCTCTGTTCATTCACGTTGGTCTGTTTCTTATGCACTCTCTTACTGTTCTTATTTATTTAGCAACCTTCTGTGGACTTTAAGACCTTACTAATCAAATTGTAAATACTCTTAAAAATTGATGATAAATGGCATTAGTGACTTGCGATTGTAAAACCAGCAATAAATTGCAATGCAGAGGCATCCATTTTGATGTATAGCTAGTAATTTTTAAGGTTTCTCTTGAAACCGCCACAGTGAAATGATTGATATGCATTTATCCAACATTCCAGATTTTGTATATAAATAAATACCTGTTTCTGAAGTAACCTGTGGAGAAATAAACTAATGCTCTGTAATGAGGACTATTCTCTATTGCATACATTGTACTTACTCTATTGTATAATTGTTCTTCATAGCCTCATATATGTCTGTTTTATTGTTTATAAATTTTAAGTCAGAGACAACCTTGATTCTATGCTATTGCTAACATCAGTGACTGTAACTGATAGCAACGTGTCATGTTTCTGTGTCACCACAGTGGGGCACTCATTCAATAGAATTTGCTCTATGCCTGTAGCAGTGGCGTTGCAACGTAGAGGGCTTACATTCGCATGATTTCAAGGCGGAGGTTCAGTAGCAAGTTAGGTAGAGGAGACAACAATATAAACGAAAATACGGTCATTTTTGTGTGGGGTTCTTAGAGATGATAAACAGTCATTTCAAATTTCTGTCTGCGTATAGAAAACGGGAACAGCAGCAGCTCAAACTGGAGCTAAATTGACTTAAATATATGTATTACAAGTAACAGAAATTATGCATTACGTTGTGCTGAATTGCAGTTTAAAACAAAAAGTTGTTTATGTAGCTACTTGGTTTATAAAAACTACATAAATACATTACTAAAAGTAGAAAAACCAAAACATTAATTATTATTAAATATTAGCAGTGCAATGAATTGAAGGTCATCCAGTGTGTCAACAGGAGAACAAGAAGACAGTGAAACATGACAACATGGTAGGTGCTCTAAGCATGGCACCGTCCACACAAAAGCTGCCCACTGCTCCCCTCGTGATGGGTTAAAAGCAGAGGCTCATTTTCGTTGTATCCCCGTGGTACAATGACAATACGGAGCATACAATTAAATAAAAAAACAATATAAACAGGTGTTCTGTTATCCTGTGGGTAATATTTATGTTTGGAGATATTTTAGGCTCTAAACTTAACGGCTTAATGGGAGCTTCCTTTGTGCATGTTTCAGACAGTAACTTTGAATATTTATTGATCTGGACGTTTTTGGTTCTTTTTATTACTAAAATAAAGCGTGTCTATTTAAATCGATGTACAGTTTTTCGCGGTAATGAACGGTAACCGACATGTGTACCACTTATTACTAAAATAAAGCGTGTCTATTTAAATCGATGTACAGTTTTTTCGTTTTCCAAACCAGTAGGTGGCAGTATCACTTTTAGTACTCCCATGTACGACAGAGGGAAAAAGGCTTCCGCTGCCCTCGAGCACAGTATACAGTAGCACCTAGCTAGTACGAGCTAAGGTTCTTCATAAAACAAAACAACGCAAACGATTATTAACAATACTACTAATATTTATTTGTATTTCATTTGAACAATGAGCGGTATTCCTGGAACTACAGTCGTCCAAGTCACAAACCTGTCTTCGGCCGTTAGCAGCGAGCAGATGCGAACTCTGTTCGCCTTCCTAGGAGACATCGAGGAGCTAAGGCTGTACCCACCCGAGTAAGCGCTTCTCTGACATGACTAAATACGCAACAACGTGGACTTGCGGCCTTTTCGCCGCGTTCAACTTAGATGTGAAATATCCCTTTAAATAACTGACTAAACAAATGTATATAAACATCTATCTTTTACAGCAATACCCCGCTGTCTTTCTCGTCCAAAGTCTGCTATGTAAAGTACCGAGAGCCGTCCAGTGTTGGTGTGGCGCAGCATCTCACCAATACTGTGTTTATTGACAGAGCTTTGATAGTTGTGCCCTGTGCCGAAGGTGAGTGAAAACCGATGAAATTCATTCACCACAGTGGATTCACCACTGTATCATCTCCTCAAATTCATTAATGTGATGCTATGGTTGACTGTTGTTTTTTTGTTTTTCCGTTTTTCCCGCATGCTTTGGTCAGTTTTGCCGGCGTTAAATATGGAAATAAAAAATCACAACATCCCCGTCAGAGTGCCAGTTTTTATATTTAAAACAATGACAGTACCAGTTAATTTCAAAGAATTGTTTAATACGACAATTTAGTCTGAAGCACGTCGACTCTAAGCGGGTTAGTGATATAAATATGTGATTGCATAGGTCTTTGCCTCTTGCCTAATACTTTGTTGTTGCACTTTTTTTTTACTAAAACAGTCCCTCTTTTTGGCTTAGTGTAAGTCTACATAGGGTTTTTTTACCATGCCAATTCTTGTTCACTTCTCTCATAAAAAAACGAATTATTTTAAAGGCACAAGCTTTTTCTTTGCCCAACCCTCTTCAGGTTACAGTGCATACATTTGATTGGATTAAGATAAAGGTTTTTCATTTTTGTTCGACTGAATATTTCTTTTGTTGCCATAAATCGGTGCTTTGAAAGCGCTAGAGATTCTAAAAGTTCATAGAAATATATGACTTCTACTAGAGTATGGCATGTAGGATAGTATGTTTCCCCCAAGGGGGATGAATAAAGCCCTACTCTACTCTACTCTACTCTAGAGATATTGAATACACAGTGTCAGTTCTGTTACCGTAAACAAACTAATAAAGGGTGTAAGGTGTTTCTAAATCAAATATATTGTATTGCAAGCATGTGGAACAGGATGGCTCTGTAAAAACAGAAAAGGACCAGGGTAGCTAAAATATTTTGAACAGCAGGGGCAGTACAGGTGATATACCTAGGGATTTAAAAGTGCAGGTATCACACAAGTAAATAGAACTAGTACATAGAGTTAGTGTTATAAAGCCTATACAGTCACTGACAAGTATGTGAAGGGTATTTAAGCTCTAGAATTTAAAGTGAAAATATTCTAAGGGCAGTAGAATGTTTTTGAATAATACGCTATAATATGTCTTAAATTATAGTTAATGGCCACACTATTCAGCTTCATGCTTTTGGCCACGTCATTTTAGAATGTCCAAAAAAAAACAGTTAAACAGACCCAAAACATGATTACTACCATGGTTGGTGTCGTTTTAACCCCACCATGTCTGACTATATACACATGACCAAATACTTCCAGGATTCCTTATGTCATTTTGTGTAGTTTTTGTTGTTTAAAAAAATAAATAAATAAGAAAATGCATACAGATGTAATACCAATCTGGAAAAGATTGTTGCCATGAGAACGAGCGGACAGCATTTATTACATTTTTGAAGCCTGCATGGCCAATCTCTCTATCCTTGGATCCTGAAAATGATTAATCAGTAAAAGATGAATGAATTAATTCAATGATGAATCTACATATAGGCAATAACGTATCCAATCAGCTCTTTATAGTCAATGTTTTCTAATGAAAACCTGACATTTAACAGTGGTGTAAGAATGTTCAATATCTACCTTTACTCCAGTAACCTGATCCATCAGCTCAGTAGCTGGTAGCTAATCTCTCTTAGTGACCAGTTAAGGCTTTATGTTTCTTGTCAGAAGGCTGTTTATATGAAAATAATATGGTTTCTGCGTATATTTTTGAATTTTCTTTTCTCCATAGCTTTCCAAGTTTTTGCAGCCAACTGTACTTTAAAGACTGAAAAGACATATTTGTGGTTGTGATTTATAATGCAATCCAATGCCACGTCCACCCGGTGCTTCCTAAACCGACTCTCGGACCCCTTTGGTGCTACTGTTGCTCACCTGTGTACAGTCACAAAAAGAATGATCACCTCTTACTTGATGCTTTTTGTCCACGTGACCTGGTGCTCGACAGCTACTGAGTTTATTAATTTGGTTTTGTATGTTTTTTTCTGTGTGATTATGTGTGCATATCAGATGACTAGACTGGCCCTGCTGTTACACTACACTAGCCTGAGTCAGGCATTGTTTTCCAAGCCACTATCCCCGATCGGGCCAACGCAGCCTTCAAGGGGGAATGTGACCAGGAGAATAGCCCGCAGAACCTTCCAAGATGGACACCTTGTCTCTTTTATTTACTTTTCTTTCCTTTTGGTTTGTTCCTTCTCATACCTTCCCATGTTGTCCAACTCTCTACTGTCTCTATCTAGAAACAACACTACTGCTTATCTCTAGCGTTGTGTTTATATTTGTTATTTTTTGGTTTGTTGTTTTGATAATTGTCCAACCCCCCAATCCCCTCTCTCTTTCTGCTACAGCCAGCTGCAGCTTGTGTGTGATTGAATTCTGTCCAGGTTGCTACGGCATGCGGCCGGGATGTGTATCACACACACACGGGGTACTAGGAGCATCACTAACTCTTTACTCTCGTCTCCTACTCCTGTTGATGTAGCACAGATTGATCTTTAAAGACAGAGGGACTGTAATAAATACTTCACCAGTTTGAGGATTTAAAGCTTAAAGTTCAGAAGCACTGTCAGTTTAAACTAGTTATTAAACTTCACCTCACAGATGTTTACCTAGTTGCCTTTTTTAAAACTGGAGTATCAGTCTTATGCGTCACTCATTTTTCAGCTTTCATCCTTAGAACTGTGAGGAAACGTGTACTAGTTCTAGCCTCCATTTATAATCAACTGACTTAATTTTTATTCTTTCAATAATCTTATCAACAGCTTATTATTACCCTTAAAGGAAAAACAAAAACAAATCTATCAATTATTCTTTTGATAGCTAGGTTTTGGCTAATATTTGAAACAGTTCTTAAAATTGTTGTTCTTCTCTGTATCTGATGTCCTGTGTGCTATTAGTGATGCAGCCATTGGGGTTGTCTTGTGTTGCACACCTTTCCAACACTGCGAAACGATCGCCCCCCCACGGAAAAGCACCCATGCTTGATATCGTATGGTTCATGACCAATATGTTTCCAGTACAGGTGACCCATGCATCAAAGTGTTGACTCATTCTCTGCATTGTGGGGTATTTTTTTTTTTTTTCAATTTTTTTCCTCTTGAGCTATGAAAAGAGACCAAGGACAAAAATCAGTGTTCTTTTGTTTTGTGGAACAGTTTAAAGATTTTTTTTGCACTTGATGATGATGATAATAATAGTTAAGAGTGGCTGGGAAGTTTAATGTAAAGAAAACACTGTAGGTCTGCTGTAGGTCTGCAGCATACCATTAGTAGACAGTAGTGCACTTGTATGCTTTCCTTCTCTCTAGAATACACTGGGCTAATTGTGCAGACATAGAGGACACACAGACGTCTCCCTCTACTTCTTTCACTAACATCCCTGTCTGTTCTACAGGGAAAATCCCAGAGGAGGCCAAAGCTTTGTCACTTTTGGCACCTGCCACTCCAGTACCCAGTTTGATTCCAGGCGGAGGACTTCTTCCAATTCCTCCTCCAAGTCCGCTTCAAAATGTAAGTCAGCCGCCTGCTATGGTTATTGATATATATTCACATATTTACTAATTTAAAAAAATATATTTTGAATTTCAGTTGAATCTTCCCTTGGTGAATCAGATTTCAGCTGGTCTGGAAACCTCATCGTTGAGCTCCCAGCCCCCTCTCATGGGAAATGTGGATCCCTCAAAGGTTGATGAAATCAGGCGTACTGTTTATGTGGGCAACTTAAACTCGCAGGTATATACAATAGGTGAAACGAGTCACCACTGTCTCACTGGGTCAAATAGAATTCACCAACTCAAGACTGTGAATATTTCCCACAGACCACAACAGCAGAGCAGCTCCTGCAGTTCTTTAAGCAGGTGGGAGATGTGAAGTTCGTGCGAATGGCTGGAGATGAGACCCAGCCAACACGATTTGCCTTTGTTGAGTTTGTGGAGCAGGACTCTGTCGCCCGAGCCTTGACGTTCAACGGAGTAATGTTTGGAGACAGACCTCTGAAGTACGTGGTTTCTTTTATATTGCTATATATACACAAATTTGACCCACAGGACCTGGGATTGTCCTAATACCGTTCTTTATGAGCAGATAGAAATGAACTAGAAAGCAGTGCTGTATTGGTGGCAGAGCTTTGTGGGAAAACAATCATTACAAATAATACAAATTTTAAGACAAAAAAAAAAAGACAAACTTTGTACCTAGGTAACACAGAAAGTGAGCTGAGCTTTTTCTTTTTATTTACCATGTTGTGTTTCAATTGATAAAAGAAGGTCTGTTCAAGGTCTGTGCCCTACAACACTATTGAATGTCACTGCAGGATAAACCATTCCAATAATGCCATAGTGAAACCACCCGAGCTCACACCGCAGGCTGCTGCTAAGGAGCTAGAAAGTGTGATGAAGAGAGTAAGAGAAGCCCAGTCAACCATCGCCGCTGCAATAGAACCAGGTGATTTATTTGGATCTGCTGCAGCGATGAAATAAAGTCGACTGCTTTGTGAACTTCGGATGTTGAATGTGCTTCTCTTTTTTCCCATAGAGCCAAAAACGCGGTCCCCTAGTCACTCCAAAAGATCGAGACGCTCACATTCACGATCACGCAGGAAAAGATCCCGTTCCACACACAGGTGCTCCTAATGATATATTTATATATGTCGATATGTATCGATTCTTTCTAGGCTCTAGATGATGTGATAATAGCTAAAGTTTTGCTTTCCTTTCTTGAGCAGGACATCACAAAGGTCAGTGATCGGGGGTGACTCTCACAGTTCACGAAGCAGCCACAGGAAACGCTCACGCTCCAGGGACAAGAGACGAAGTGGGAGTCGTTCTAGGTATGTTTCCAGGCAGTGAACAATGGAAGAAAAAGTGAACCATGTGCTTCACGTAACAGCAGACATGTCAGCTGCTTTTATAAATATATGTTTATTTTACATTTTTTGCTTCTGTTGTTTGTAGAGTTTATAGGCTAAGGTCTTGAACATTTACCATTCATCACTGCCAGTAGCTAATATTATTGTTTTGTTCTTAGGGTCCATCGTAGAAGGAGTAGGGATCGTTCGCGAAGCCCTCGGGGAAAAGCTAGGTCACCATCACCAAAAAGGTAAACCTTAATACATTCGATAAGTTTTGAATATAGAGTGATCTCTATTTAGGGGTGTGTAACGCTTGGCTTCTTCCAGGGGTAAGAAGGACAAGAGAAGGGAGCGCAGCAGAGACAGAAAGGAGCGTTCAACATCCAGGAAGAGGAGCCGCAAACATGAAGACAGGATAAGGAGCAAGACCAAGTCAGTGAAGGTGACACGAGGTTTACTCTTAGTTGAGATGTTAAAAATGGTGTTGTGAAAATATTTGGCAGTTTAAATAAGATAAGATTCAAAGTAAGACTGCTTTTACAAATACTATTATAAATAGCTGTGTAGGTCAGTCTGCCCAGGTGATGCTGTAGTTTCTTGTCTTCGGTCCTGAATTCTAGACCAGTTCACCAGCAGAGCACGCTCTTTTCCTTCATCGCCGCCTAGAACGGCGATATAATTAAATGGATAAATAGTTCTGAAAAATTAGAAAGAAAAAAGTTGAGTTTCTATATTTTTTGCATATTCTGTGAAATTTCCACAGAAGCTTCTTGTAGCAGGAAATGTGATTGCAAAAATGAGGTCTACAGTTGAGTCCAGACTACATTGATGTTGATCTGTTTCCTATAAGAACCATGATTTAATCTCAAATACAAACGTACTGACACAAACAGTGATGACTGACTCTGCACACGTTGTTTCAGAAACCAAGATAACGTTTGAAACACCGACCTCACTTTTATCATTTGTCAAGCTTTAAAAAAAAAAAAAAAAGTTGAAACGTAGTTCCGTTAGGAAGTTGAAAAGTTAGCTCTGACGTTACTGTCAGATAAGAACCCAAAGTTCTGCTGTGGTCTGTCTTCACTGATCATTGTCGCAGCCTGACCTACTTCACACAGATAGTAGCCGTCACTTTGTAATCCATATCAATATCAACACACTTTGATGAACAAAGTTTGCGTAAATGTTCTCTTCAGAAACAAAAAAAACTGCAAAACTGCAAAAAAAAACTGCAAAACTGCACAACTGAATACCCATAATCCCCCTTTTCTCTGTCACTCTCGATTGACCTTCAAGCTTGTCTACCTTTTCAGGTAAAGGCAGAAAACAGCAGAGAAGACAGGAGGGATGAGGACAACGACAGCCAGAGGGACAACTATTCCTCAGCAGGTGAGGAGATGATGTCATCATCGCCCGCTGTCCAGCACAACGGCAACTACAAGGGCCACAGCGAAGAAGAGTCAAGCTGCAGGCTCTATCAAGTGTCTATGTTGTAAATATGTGTGTGCGTGGGTGTGTATACTTTACATATGTTCACACCACACAGACACAGTGGCCTTTTTTTTTGCGAACGTCTTTAACAACACCATCATTTAATGTCTCTAAATCGACAGTTTTACATGTGACTTAAATACACAAAAGTGCAGAAAGGTCAGACCTTTGCTAATTGAACTGGATTTAACTGAACTAATTATCGACTAGTTATCGACCACATCACCACACACACGTTACATAGACTGGTCCACGCCCCTTGTATTTTACTGTAATATATTGCACAAAAACATTTTTACTGCATTCTACAGCTGTAGACATAATAAGTAGAAAGCTGAAAATTTCAATGACTGGAAGATTTTTGTTTTTTTGGTTAGTAACCAATTTTACATTTTTGAGTCAGGTTCAAAAAATTATTTTGAATTTGATGTGAAGCAGACTCGACCTTTTCAGTCAAACGTGATGTGACATCACCTTAGGAGATGAAGCCACTCTTTCTGCATCATATTGCTGCCCAAGTCAATACTTGATCCTGTACAGAGTATAAAATATATATGTACAAATATATTTATGACCTAATCTGATACAGCTATTGGTAAAGATAAAAACAAGATTATTTTATAAGGGACTAACCTTGTAGCATCAGGCTAATATGTACTTAAACCTATATTTCCTGTACTTGTTACTGACAACAGTGGAGGTTTTAATACATTCTTCTGTGTGAGACTGTGTGATGCCATGTCAGCTGTTAGTGTCGCCCAAAGAGTGGAACTAACGGTGTGTGACTTGTGTCCTGTGATGCTGGAGAAAAAAATTCTGAGAAAAGTAAGAGCATAAAAAGATGTAGATGTGCAGTTTTTCTTGGGGCGGGGAAAAAAGAACTTCTTTGTTTATGTGTTGTTCTGTACAGAGTATTGTGTTGATTTTATGACTTGATGTGCTGTAGGTGTGAGAATGCAGAATATACAGTTTTTTTTTTTTCAGTTTTAATCTGTACTTGCTTTTTATATTAAATATTTTGAGAGTATGACCAAAAATATATAAATATGTTTTTCTATAAAATTACAACTGATACTGGAAACAGATGGTGGCGACGCTAACAACAGTTGACAGCGGTTTACAAGTGTCTTTGGCACAGAGCGGGTCAGAAAGTGCCTACGTGAAAATTGTACAGATTATTCTGATACAGTACATAGACTACATGAAGTATTCACACTGGGTGTTTTAGTTGCTGAAATTGTGAGGTATGAAAGTATTGATGGATTTTAGCCATTAGTCAGATTCAAAGTAGCTCAAAGTAGCTACATGCATAGCTACATATATTAATACATACTGAATATCTAGAGAAATTGTTGCGTTTATATTCATTTTCATAGTTTTTTTATTTTATTTTTCAAGGCTTTTTCAGAAAACTATTCGTATGTTGCTTTTGCTAAAACATTTGTATTCTGAAAAAACCTGAATCTTAACCATAAAATACAGCATAGCTACATCTTTTTAGGCAAATTGTTGCATTAATATTCTTTATTTATTTTTATTTTTTTTAGATTTTGTCAGGAAAGTATTAGCATAGTAGGTTGCTTTTGATCAAGGTTGAGGTTCGACTAAAGGAGCAGAATACCAGCTTTGTAGATGATGAATGAATGGGTGAATGAAACTTATGCAGCTTCTCATTTTGTCACAAACGCTAAATGAAAATCCGAGAAGCTCAAACTGGTACATTTAGATTGTGATAAGTGAATGTCATTATGACATTATAATGAGGAAATACGACAGTCATAAGTACATTATGTGGTTTTTATTGGATACAGTGGCAGTATTTAAAGCAGCAGATGAAATATAATGTTCAGAGATGATATGCTTACACATGATGAGTTCATGTAGAAAATACGTTATGTACAATGGGGTAAAAAAGATTACTTGAGGTGATGTATGTTCCATAAAGTTACCATTGTTACCATTGGTAAAACTGTTACCCTTTTTTTTGCACAAACACCCTCTACTTTAAGACCGTGGAACTGCAGCTCATAATCACCATGTTGTAGAGGTTGGTAGTGTTTCATGGTCACTCACGTAAAAAAAAAATCAACATAATTTCCCACTTGATGAAAGTTCAACAACCATTAACTGACTTTATGATGATTGGTGCCATCTCCTGGCCTTGTTTTGAACTTGTTGAGTATCAGTTACTGTTTGCTTTTGATTAAGTGACCTTGTTATTTAACACCTGAAAAAAGTGGCAAAAAAAGCCAAAGTGGTTCTTTTGTCATTGGTAACAACTGTCCTGGCTCATTAGTACTACTTACACCAATACTGTGGCCATCTCCTCACTGGCCAATGTTGGACTGGTGTCACACTGACCCACATGTCCTGAAGAACCCCCCCCCCAGCTGCGTCTCCCTCTATGTCCTGACTCACTGCTGTGTTCACTGCAGTCGCGGCCTTTGGCATCGCCTGCTGAAACATTTCCATTGTCGTGTAGTCACTTGAAAAGGCAAAAGTTGTTTGTTGGAAGTTGGTCGTCGAGGCTGTGGCGTTATCGTCCTCTGCTGCGTCCTCGGTGTCCGTTTGGATCCAGTCACACGTTATTTCTAGGGAGTCTTTCACTTCCTCTGTCTCGGAAAGAAGCGGAAAGAAAAATGGAACGTGGCCTGGAAGGACCATATTGTTGTTCTCTATCACCTGAAGGCCGTCTGTGTCCCATTCTTCTACTTTCAGAGTTTTAAGAGATGCCAGGAGTTCCTGAGTGGAACAGCAAGAATGTCCAATAAATAAACCTTTCAGACCTTGACAGTACACAGTGGATCCCAAACTTTTTTTTTCTGCAGCGCCCCCTTTTCTTCACCTGATTAATACTGTAGCTTTGAGCTCCTCTAAATTTTATTTTGAAATACTGTAATCCCAGCAATATTGCTGTTCTCATTGAACAGAAAGAAGAATTAAATTTCAAATCAATGTCATTTTCTCACTATGGTACTAGTTAAAAAGTATTTAAATTCAAATTAATTTGCCTTGCTGCTTACCCCTTTAATAGCCCTGCGCACCACATGGGGGTCAGCCCCCACTTTGGGAGCCACCACTGTATCATCTGCCTCTGTTCTCCTTATATTTTCTAATTGACAAACATTTCTCTGTCACTTCCTCATCTTCCTCATACTTTATCACCCTAACCTGCTGCACATACTTTCACAATTCAAGTCTTTGTTGAGCCATCAAATACAAATTCCCTTCCATTTTCTTCGTAACCTTATCAATGTTACTCATCCTACACTTTTTACTTTATTTTAATAATAGAAAAATTAGTAAAAGTAAAGTTACTTGCCATTTCAAACGGTGTTTCCATTTTCTGTAGGGCACTGCTCTTACCAGGATGTGGAATGCTGGGCCACAGAAGGACTTTTGCTCTAAATTATGTGAAAATAGAAAATAAGTTTAGATATAAGTATATTTTTGAGATAATATTGATTTTTTTTAATTAATATTACCTTTTTACCTACCTTTTCATTAGGAAACACCTACATATCAGCACCATGGCCACAATGGCAAAGAAAATAACAGGAATTATGAAGTTCAGATAAAAATATCCTGAGGAAAAAATGACAGTTAAATCAAATATCAGCGGACACTTAAATCCAGTGGGATCTGATGTCAGAGGACAATGATTAAGGCTTTACCTTGGTCTTCAAGGGTTTTAATAACAGTGGCTGAGCTTCGAACACCTGCTCCTGCGCTGGTAAACCCTGACACCTGGATCTGATAGGCCGTCGCTGCTTTTAGATCCCCCAGTTTATAGGACTCACAGGTGGGATCTACTGTCACGTCTGTAAAGAGAAACACCACTAAATATAATGGTTTTAAACCACTGTGTGGTTCTCCACCTTTATTTACTCAAACTATGGCACAGTACGTGCACAAATTATACTTATTCCCAAAGTGTATGTTTGTGTGTGTAGGGGGAGGGTTTTTCAAAATGGGGAAATTGCAGTGATTGTTTGCTCTTGTACAGTGATAAATAGACTAATAATCTCATTAGGAATTGTACTAATCCTCTTCTGTATACACGGGTCTAAGCTCACGCTGCTATATTATATGTTAGTTATACAAGTTGTATTTAGGAAGATCTAATTAGCTCCTAACCCCTCTACTATTATGACAGCTTCTAGTCTGCACTGAAAAAAAACAAACAACTGTTGGATGAAGGTCCAAATTGGGACCAAGTACCACGGTTGACTCACTTTTCTCTGTAGAAACCCCTTGGTTAAGGTACTCTGTGTAGTGGATGAAGTAACCCAGAAGAAAGCCTCGGACATCTGCTTCTGGGATCGTGGTCCACTGCAGCACCACTGACATCAGACTAATGTTGGAGATGTTGATGTATGGAGCAGTGACAGGAGCTGTGGAGCAACAGGGGCAACAAGTCACACACTGGTCAGTCACTCAACCAACTAAAGCCCTCCATCCATCCATCCAATAATTTTTCCTATATTTATCCGTTACCAGGTCGGGGGGGCAGCAGTCGCCATGACCACCCCCCAAATCACATTGCACCGTACCAACCCCCCTGAACCTTCCTGTGGTGAGTCCACTGAGGTACCAACCGCCCTAACCGGGATTTGAACTTGCCCAGGAGGTGAACCTTGGGGTTCCACACCAATGACAGAGACATTGCCTCTGGGCCAAAGCACCACCCGACTAAAACCTGTTTCTAGTAATATGTGGCTCTGTTTAATGGACAAAAGTTTGAGTTGAAGGTGGAGGAGATGAAGATCTGAGATCTTCACTGGCAGAGACCAGGATGGACAGAAGATCAGAGGGACAATTAGGGTGGAGCAGTTTGGAGATGAAGTTAGAGAGGAGAGGTGGAGATGGTTTGGACACGTGTTGAGGAGAGATGGTGAATGTATGTGAGCCAAAAGATGGTGGAGGAAGGAGGAAGACATCAGAGGAAGATGGTTGGTCTCAAAATAAAGGAGGCAGTTGATCCACTGTGGTGACCCCCGATGGTAACAGGTGAAGAAAGGAGAGGAAGAAATATGAACTATGTCACAATTTTAAAAAGTCTTCACTTGCCTCCTTCCTTCAAGTAGAACTGGGTGGAGGCGTAGGTGCTCTCACTGTTGTTGATGCGCTTGATGTTGCAGGTCTGCTTCTGTGGTCGTGTGTGCAGACTGATAAGGTATCTCTTGTACGGCTCCAGAGCCTCTGCTTATTCAAAACAACACAGGTTATCTTAAAAGCACATCTGTTCATGTATTGCAGTGTATTGCTACAAAATGCTATGCTATGAAATAATAAAAAAGAAATAGGATTTTTTTTCTGAAGTAGTCAACCCAGCAGCATAAAAATAATGGAGCTAAATCAAAACCTAAGTTTTAAGTCTGGTTAAAATTGGATTTTAGCTCTGATGAGTTGATTTTTGATTTAATTAAAGATAGCTCAGAAATTCCATTACTCAAATGTTTAAAACCTGCCCGAGCTGTTGGAGACTTCTGAAAGGTTTAGTCATCTAGTCTTGTAATAACAAAAATCAAAAACTTCCAATCACAATCAGTAATCACAGCGTAGTTACACCATGAATAACAGTGATACACTGAGATAAATCAACCAATGGTAACCAATGCAAATGATGGAACTATTAATGCAGAAAAATATGCAAAAGTATGACTCAAAATCTTGCCCCCTGGAGTGGGAGGATTTTAGTCATTACTGTTCATCTTGAAGGTGGCTTTCATGAATGTCTAGAGAGTTTCAGAATTGTGTCAGTCTGTCGACTCAGTGAGGCTGGTTTGAATCCTACCAGGATGTTTGATGTTAAGATGGTATTTTCATCTTGAGGTACATCAGTGAAACAAAAACGTTCTTTTTCCTGCAGTGTGTGCTTTGGCTTTGTGTTAGAAACAAAGATAAGGGGTTACACAGTGGAATTACTGAATATACAGGAGGTCCTCGGTTTACGTCCTCCTCGACCTACGGTGTTTTTGTAGTTAACTCGTTAGTGAGTGGAGCGGAAGAATAGATTATAACACGCCCCATATGTTGAAGACGCCGTTGTTTGAATTCCTCAGTTGTATGTTTGTTTTCCTTTGTTTGTGTTGTTCTTTTGGGAACTTTTGCCCTTCCTTTTGGCTCCCAAGCGTAAGACAGATTCCTCTGACATTTTTATGTCCTAGATTATGATGTCACCACTGTGTTGCGTAGGTGAGTGACAAAGGTGTTCATGTACAGTATGTGAGTTCCCAGTCACAGCAAAGATTGAGTCGCGTAGCACCATAAGAACAGTCTGACATAAGTCAAGGAATAAGTCATAAATCATATTCTTAATCTGCTGAATTCTAATAATTAATAATTGCTATTATAGTGTTATTAGTAAATGAAATCCTTAATAATGACTTTACTTAAGAAGTTACAGAAAAGTCCTGACCAAAATAAGTGCCAAGTGACACATACTGTACCTGGTAAAGGTGATAAGGTCTTATTGTTCATTTTATTCTGGTAAAAAGACATAGCCACTGTTTTATGTCCTTTCTCGCTCCACTCGGCAGAGTAGCAGACGTAGGTTTTGATCAGATCGTCTTTCCAGTGAAGTGCTAAGGACGTGCTACTGCGGACGCTCACGGTCAACTTGGCCTCAGCACCTGTTGACACAAATATGGATGAGATTATGTCATATTTGAATTCTATTCCACACTGGACTGTGATGCAGTGAGTACACACTGGGAATGAGCTCTCGCCGTGGTATGGCCCAGCTCAGAGCCGGGGAGGTGCTAACATTGTTGGCAGCACTGATGTACAGCTGGTAGCCGGAGTAGGAGAGAAGGAGTGAGATCTCAGGCTGAGTGATGCTCAGCAGCTCACGTGGAGGCTCTCCGGAGGATTTACTGACCGTCACAGAGTAGCTGTCGTGCAGCCCTTCGGAGGAATACTGATAAAACACACACGGTTGTAGTAATATCACTTCCTTTTACTCAAATTGAAATCTTTGCAGTCAGATAGAATTTTAAGCAGATGCATTTTAATAATTACCTTCCATTTAAGAGAAAGCAGTCTGGTTCCTCTTTGCCCTGCGATGTCGGTGTCTTCATGTTTGACAAGGACAGGGCGTGTTGTCAGTTCTGAAAGTGGACAGTTTGAGTAAAGTACAAAATGAGGAAGAAAATGTCAAATCGAACTTCTATTTCCTGTTCTTGCGACAAGATGGTGTAGAAAAAAACCCACTTTTAAACCACATTATACTTTGCGACAAGATGGTGTAGAAAAAAACCACTTTTAAACCACATTATACTATTATACATTAGTGTGATTGTGTAATTAATATTTATTCAGCTCATCACAGTGTTGACTGGTCTTTCTCATCAGGACACTACCTCACCTGGTGGAATGGTGTAAATCTCACTCCATGGGCACAGTGTGCATTTTTCGTTTGTAACACACTGTATTTGTACATTATAGAACAGTGAGGTGTTTAGATTTTCCACAGTGCATCTCTCTTTGTTATGGGATCGACTTGGTGTCTGTAAAAAAACAGTAGGAACCATGAATTACCAAACAAAGTCCTCAGCAACACATAATTCCTGACTCCTACGCTAAAATTCTGGGTTTGGTGTAGTATGAAAATGACAAAGTTATTTCTGTACATGTCCCACATTTAGGTCAAAACACTTCTGCCAGCAGTGTTTACATTTAAGAACTGTGGGGATTTCTTTGTCACCAGGTCTCATCTAAGAACCGAATTTAGGTTACATACCTTCAAAGGTTTTCTTAGTTTGAAGAAAATTTAAAAAAGCAGTACATCAGAAACAGTTACAATCAAAAATAATTATGAGGTGTCCCTTACAGTTTTATGATAAACTTCAACAAATATAAAACTTTACAAAACAGTCCTCCTATCTATAATTCCACTGGTATTTATTAACCTGAATCTGTGCTATTCTACGCAGATGATATTTAACTGGCTTTGGTGCAATATATAGTAAAATATAAGGTTGGTGGATGCATACAAAATGCGAAAGACAACGGGAGGGTTAATGTTTTGACTAATAAATTTGGACATTTTGCCTAATATTTCTAAGGAAGCTGTACTGCAGTACACTGGTATACCGAGGAATTCTGATCGTTTGAAGGAGTGTTGGACAAAAATGAGTTGTATGTAGAAAAATACTTTTGTTATTTTTCAATTAGAATTAGAATTAACTGACACGCCTTCATATTATGTACATATTGAAAGAAAGACATGATAAAATGGCTGGTGTAACAGTCAAGGCTAAAGATAAAATTAGAAAAAGTAGGCAGATGATCAGCAGAAACCCCCAAACAGTGCAGTTGATAGAAGTTGTTGTTACAGTAACACTAGTTATAAAAACATTTGCCTTTTTGTTTTTGTCATTCAAACTATGTATATTTTTGTACATCAGGTGCTTAACACCCACCTCACTCCACGAAGGACTGCCCACTGCTTTATATCTGACAGAATAAAACCCGATGGGCGTTGGGTTGAACCAGCTCACATTCAGGTTGAGTTTTTCAGATTGTCGACTGAAGAAGACTTTAGATGGAGCATCACACTGAACTGAAACATAATGAGACGTGTAAGGGTTCCACCACGCTGCAGCATATTCACCACGTTCTGTTGCTGCATGCTGTACTCACGCAAGCTCCTCGGTGAACCTCTGAAGACCGACTTTTTGCAATCACTGGACTCGCCATTTACTACAACCACCACAGTCATGTTGGACTTCATAGAAACTCTTATTGAACTTAAGCAGAAGTCACTGATGTTGTAGTGTACATCACACTTTTTTTCATTTCTTGAGAGAAAGAGAGTTGAGGAAAGTAAGTCTTATGTATAATTTTCTCCAAAAGGACGAAGCTGTTTTCCTACTCACTGTTGAATGATGATTGTGTAGGTTTTCTCCAACGTGGTGTTTCCAGGTTTCCACACACACGTTTTTAAGCCCTTGAAATTATATTTACCAAAGCAGTTTAACCCATGGACATCATCTGAAAACCGGAGATGTAGAAAAGCCAGTCATTCCCCCCTCCCTTCAAGTGTGATACTTCAATTCATATTCAAAAACCAACATACCTGGCTGAAGTTCACAGTGTTCATATCTAGGAAGAATGTTGCTGCAGAGCTCTGGAAAATGTTAAAATAAAAGATCACTCAGATTTTTTTTTTTAACTTCTGCATATTAGCAGCAGGCTAACAATTGTTATGACTTACCTTTATTTGACTGAACTTTACTTAGCATTGCCAAAATTAGTCCTGGAATATAAACAACAAAAACATGAGAATTGGAAAACTGTGCCAGTAAAATTTACTCACTGCCCTGTGCTGTCCGGCTGATCTGACATCGGCCAGTAAGTAGGTTATTCATAAACACATGCTGAGTGTTAAGACGATATTTGAAACTTGAGGTGCTTAGGTAAAATGAGAACCTTAGTGTGTGTAAATAATGTGTATCGACTGTGTTTTGGAGCAATGATAAGTGAATTCACGACTTATTGGATAAACAGTGCGCATCATTCTGCCCATGTGTTATAATGCGTTGAAATTTAAATCTGAAAATTGCGAATGTGTATGAATGTACTTACCGAAGATAAACAGCAGTGACTGTCTACCACAGTGTCTGGAGACAATAGCAACACACTGGAGTCCTCCACTCAGCATCTCACCATCTCTCTCTGTGTCTGACAGTCACACTAGAAAACAAGAGAGAAATTCTGAGGCTGCCTCACACCCACACGCTGCTGTCATGACACACACATTTACATGCACTCCCTTAAGAATGTGGAATAACAAAAAAAAATTGCATTTGGTGTCGATGGACAGATAATGTTTGTGACATCATTCGTAGTCCAATAATCAACGGTCCATCCCTGGAGTGTGCAGAATACAAAAAAAAGTTATCTTTATTTTACTTCTTCTTTCCCAAAATAGAAAAACTCTGGTCGCCTCACAAAGCGAGGCAAGTGACTGTCAAATAATGGTGCTGTTGAATGCTTGACTGGATTTCCCCTTTTCTCTTTGTGGCTGCTGAAGGTGTGTTTTTTTTAATGTTCAGTGAAACAGGGCATTAAAAACAGAGCATATTCTATCAAAACTGAAAAAAAGCTTTTTTTTTTTTTTTGCTTTCAAAGAAATCTCTGCTTTTGAGCAAGTCGTGTCTTTCTGTGAATAACAGACAGATACTGTATGAATGGCACATGTTTCACTTCAAGTCACCTAAGAAGTAATGTGATTCAGGAATGTCTCAGTGAAATTGAAAAAGGAATAGAAACAATTATAAGAAATGCAAGTGGCACTTGCCAGAAAATCCCCAGACACATTTTTCAGTTACTTAAAAAAAACCCTGATAAATATACACTGCCTGGCCAAAAAAAAGTCGCCACCTGGATTTATCGAAGCAAATAGGTACGAGCCTCCTATTGGATAATTACTGCATGGGCGATTATCTTTCAGCTGGCAACAAGTTATTTAACCACAACTGGTGCAATGAGTTGCTTCTCATTTCCTAAACAACCATGTCGAAAGACACATCCCGTGGTCGTGGAAAAGATGTTAGTCTGTTTGAGAAGGGTCAAATCATTGGCATGCATCAAGCAGAGAAAACATCAAAGGAGATTGCAGAAACTACTAAAATTGGGTTAAGAACTGTCCAACGCATTATTAAAAACTGGAAGAATAGCGGGGACCAGAGTGATGGGCGCATCAGGGTAAGAAGAGAGGCAGGTGAAGTGATGCACCCATCATGCCTAGTGCCTACTGTACAAGCCTGTGGGGGCAGTGCTATGATCAGGGGTTGCTGCAGTTGGTCAGGTCTAGGTTCAGCAACAGTATGTGCTCAAAGAATGAG